GAAACACACTGTCCATCAATAGGTGAATGTTGATGGACAACAAACCACAGTCTATCCATACAGTGTAATATTTAGTAATAAAAAGGAATGAATTGATGCATGCTATAGCATGGATAATTCAAAATTACTATGCTGAATGAAAGAAAAAACAGATTGAAAAAAAGGGAGTACCTACTGTATGAGTCCATTTATATAAACCTCTAGAAGATGCATTAATCTATAGTGGCAGAAAATAGATAACTGTTTGCCTGGTCATGTTGTGTGCCAGGAAGGGAAGGGAGGGATTGCAAATGGTAATGAGGAAACTGCAGTGATGGTGTCCTGAGTATATATATGTCAAAACTTATCAAAGTGTAGCCCTGGCCAGTGTAGCTCAGTTAATTGGAGCATTGTCCCATACACCGAAAGGTTACTGGTTTGATTTCCAGTCAGAGCACATGCCCAGGTTTCGGGACTCATCCCTGGTGGAGGTTGTGCAGGAGGCAGTGAATCTGTTTCTTTTTTTCTTTTCTTTTTTTTCTCTGATCTATGTTTCACTCTCACATCGAAGTTTCTCTCTCCCTTCCCCTTCCTCTCTCTCTCTAAAAAAAAAAAAAATCAATAAAAAAACATATATGCAGTTTACTGTATTTCAATTATACCTCAAAATAATATTAACAACAAATAAAGATTGTGAGCTGTGGGATCTGAGATTGGGAGAAAAAAGCTGCTATATTTTCTTATAGCCCTTAGAATTTTCTTTTAACCATGCAAAATTATTATCGTGTTAAAAATAAAAATTAAAAATAAAACAAGAGCAAGAACATATAAGATGATAACAAAAGAAACAAGTCTTCTTTTCTTCAAAATCTTTAGCTGAAAACCAGGTGCCCATAAAGGCAACAAATTCTCTCCAGCCACCCCAGAACTATTTACTTCATTACTGAATTCTTAACAAGAATACAATTTAGAATACATAGTGAATGAAAATATCCAACCTCAAGCTTTGAATGAGCTATCACTGATATATCACGAAAAGAATATGAATCACCACTAAGTGACATTTTTAAGCAATAGCAGTGGATTTGTGCTGATCTAGCCACAAAGCTCTCCTACAACCTTGTTTATTTTTACAGGGGATTGCTATACAGATGGGTCTTAGGAATCATTATGTAGGTGATATCTCCTAGTGGTTAAAACCCTAATTATCTACTTCCTTACCTGGGAGCAATTTGGGCAATAGGATGAATTTGGGCTCAGCTGATGAACTGAAATCGGTATCAGTAAAATAGTCAGTTTCATAAGAACCTAAGTAGTAAGATGCCTTCAAGTTTCACAAGAAAAGAATCTTGCAAGTTAGGAGGGTAATTCAGCCAGAACAAAAGCAGAAATTTAGTGAAAAGAAAGGAAAAATGGTGGGATTTCTGAATAATTTTCATTTGCTATTAAATCATTCTTTGGACCTTTAGAGAATAAAGCTCAGGTGTACATTTTAGGGAGCCAGAATCTCTTGAACACAGGCCCTCCTTTTACTATGGCTAATATATTTATATGGTCTAATAATTCTCATAGTCATGCCTTCATGTATGAGTGCTTTGATTTAAAAACTGTTTAAAGAATGTATACATTCCAAACAATTTCAAATTATCTGGCATTGGCTATTGGTGATAGAATGATTTCTTCTTCATGTTAAGTATCCTCAAGTTTCTGGTCTGTTTAATCACTGATTAGATATAACCCCCATGTGGTTTTAAAATAAGCAAAGTGAGGACCTTCAAAAGTGCTGCAAGATCAGCTGCTTCTGACCAACACCTGAGCAAGTTAACTGTAAAGCACTGAATTCCATCAGGACACGGATCCATCTACCACTTAAACTCTTTTCCATCTCTTCCCTGACAAGTTGAGTCAGGCTCCTCACATGTGGAGAGCAGCCCTGCAGAGTGGAACTAGAAAAAGTCATTTGGAGTTAAACAATAAACCACTTCCAACACACACATACACACACACACACACACACACGGTTCAAATCTGCTTTCATCATCTTTGTCCAGAAGAAAGTCGGTTGAGAAGCAGAGCAGGGAAGAACAGGTGTGAAATGCTAGGAAAATCCGTTTGTCCCGAACATCCACAAAGCACCAAATGACTTGAACTAGGTCTGAAAAGGTAGCGTGGGTAAATATTAAAAAAACCAACCAACAAAACAAAAACGAAAAACCAACAAGTCTAAGAAACTCATTATGCACCTTTGCTGAATTCAAATATTCCCAGATATTTTACCAAAATCTCAAGGATAAGGTAGAATTTCTACCCCTGTGGCTATTTAAAAACAAGACAAAGCTTTCATTCTTGATTTGGGTTACATGTCAACCTGCCTGGTCCTCTTGAAGCTGGCAGTACCTTTGAAAACATGGGCCAACACTCTCATTCTATAGATGAAGAAATGGAATTAAAGGTCTGGATCAAATGAGGGTAAAAGGGGGACATCTGTAATATTTTCAACAATAAAAATAAAGAAACGTAAAAAATAAAGGCCTTGACCAAAATGACACAATTAGGGACAGAGCCAGGACTGGAGGCTCCATGTTAAGATGTTCTCCGGAGCCTGTCTCTTGGGCCTTCTTTGCTATTCTCTTTTGAATTTCCTTTTGGGAACATGATCCTATAAGAAGATTTTTACACAATGGTCTTCAAGCCAGCTGCACCATGCAATCACCTGGAGCTTTATAAATTCTGATGCCCAAGCCTCACCCCATGCCCCCAAGGATTCTGATGCAATCTAGCTGGGGTGTGGCCCTAGCCTGGGACTTTCAAGAGCTCCCTTAGGCAATCCCAATATGCAGCCACCTCTGAGAGGCCCTTCCACGGGGCAAAGCATGTTGGGAATACAGCTTGCTGATAATTAAGGCAAGCTTTTGCAATGCTTTCGCACACCCCAACCTAAGCAGGTGTTCCCTGTTGAAAATTTCTATCATCTACTAGAGTGGTTCTTGCTGGCCAGCCCACCCTGGGCCCTTCTTAGCTGTCGTTCTTGATCTCTCAGCCCCAGAAAGCGCACCACTGCAATCAAAATGACCATTAAAATAAAGATCCAAAAGCAAGTCTCAAACGTTAAGTAAAAGCGAGAGAAGGAAATCCCTCGATTTGGACAAGTCTCCATTAGCAAAACAGAGGAAAGGGAGGCTATCTGGAGATAATTCCGGCCAAGAGTATTTGGGCATTTTCCCAGAATTACCCAAGTAATACTGCGAACAGCAAATTTATGTAGGCTAAATTATGTACAAACTGCCTAAATCGTGAGGTTGAATCAAAAGTTACCTGACTCTGGAGAGCCGGAATGCCAAAGACACTACATGCATCATGGGTTTGACTAACACCCGCCCCTTCCCCAAGCAGCTGCCTCCAGGGCCCTTCAGGAAGGAACCCTGGCCAAGCTGACCGTGAACTAGACACTCTCCCAGGGTCCTTCTGTGCCGCCTCCGAACCCGAGCCACCCACTCAGGAGAGCTCCCCAATTCCTACCTCCCCTCTGGCTCCGGCTACCCTAGAGAATTGAAAAGGGGGCGTGGTGAGGGCGAGACCAGGCGCACCGGCCACAATCCCCTTTTCCTGGCCGCTCAGGCACCGGGGAGCCCACCTGGTCCGGCGTCAGCACATCTCACAATGCTCCGCGGCGACCCGGGGACGCGGGGGCCCCTGGGGTGACGATGTCCTAAGTTCACTGGTCAAGGAAAGGACGGAAGGAGGAGTGTCCCGGCGCCCGAGCCTCCGCCGCGAAGGAAAGAAGGGGCTCCGGGAAGGACCGTCCCGAAGGGGTGCGGGGTGTCGGGCTCCCCGGGAGAAGGCCGCACCCCGGCTCAGGCGCCGCCTCCTCGCCCCGACGCTGCCCCGCTGGAGGCAGGA